TCTAAAGTAGGATGTTGACTGTCGCCGGAAAAAAGGCCATGGAGTCGAGGATATTTCCTTTCATAGCATGTATCACTTTCGCAGTATCCTTTTCTGGGTCAACGGATGCGAGCGATTGCTCGGTGAACCTTGCTTCCAATGAAGTGTCATGATTCGTCTACATACTGCCCTTCATACATATTTCCGTGCTGCATATTGCCAACTCTGTTATACTGAAAAACTATATCATCGTTGGAATCTACTTCTCCGGATAGACCTGCATGATCGCTTTATCACCCGGCTCAAGATCCCTCGTTTCGTCTGAGTCGCTGGTGTCAGAATTGCCTTCTGCTCTTTTCGATATTCTCCTGTACGCTGTTAGAAATAATAAGGAAAATGTGATAGAGTACATACTCCTCTCGTTTCGTGAAGAATTGAATGGCATGCGCCAGTATAATCAAGCACACGGCATTGCCGAGTACGAACGAGTACCCCTTAGTGAATCGAGGAGCTTCGACGGTCTTGAAGACTAGCAACGGCGTCCACGCGGTCGTTGATTGCGAGACAGCATTCAAAATGATCAGCGCCACTGCTCTTTCAACAGGCGAGTATCGCAGTTGACTGTTAACCCAGCCGTAGAGCACACTGGACATAGCGACTGCAGAATAGGTTGTGGCAAATGCAAACCAGAGCGCGGACTGGGGAACATCCCACACGACAAGTATCACCAGCCCAATAATGTTCCAAGTGTGTGCGATGGTGATAGCCCAGGCAGGACCGAACAAAAGATCCGATGAAAAACAGATGAAGAGTGTGTAGAAGATCCCCAATGCGGGAGAAATCGCGTTGAGCTCGTTGATGCGACTGGTCGAGAATTTCTTGAGACTTTTCAGCCAGAGCAGATAACCTCCTGTAGTGGTGTTGACGCTTCCGTTCCAGAAGAAAATATCCAGCAGAAGCAAAGCCCAAAATCTCCAATTGCCAGCAATGTTCAAGAGCACCTTCCATCGGAACTGTTCCTGTACACCGTGTCCTGCTCGTTGGAGCCGCTTTTTAGCGAGATCGATATCTGCCTGTTTCAGCACTAATCTATTCGGCTTGTCAGGAGTCCCTGGTAAGATTAGATATCCCAGCAAGCCAATGGGAATGGTGATGATTGCACAGATAATGTACATCCATCGCCACCCTGCCAGCCCATGGACGCCGTCAAGCCTTGCCGACGTGCCAGCTTGGATTAAGCTCGATGTCAACGTTCCGAGAGTGAGACCAACATAAAAGCAGCCGCCTCTACGGCCGATTTCATCCCCGCGATACCAAGACCCTGGACGGCAACTGTGAGCTGTTCCCTTTTCAATTCTCGCGGGTTTTACCTACCGAAAATGTAATGCATGCCGGGGAAGAATGCAGCCTGGCTTGTTTAGTTGAGGCCCTAGGAAAATCATAGAAAGATTTCAAACCTCAAACCACCCGACGAGAAATCGGTAAGCCAGCAACTCCCCGTACGAGGTCACTCGATACTGCAGTAACGTAAACACACCCCATGAAATATCCAAAGCCGGAATGACCCAGGACATTGGAAATTTGGTGAAGAGATACGCGAAAGGGATTTGCCCTAGAACTGCGCCAACGGTGTACATTGTCTGCAGACGGACGAGCGCATTGCCGTGCAGGTTCAAATCATCTGAAAGACCCGAAACATATGCGTTGTCTGAGAGTAGGATTAGTTTAGTTCGAGTAGGGCTCATTGGTGACCTACTTATGTTGGATTGGTCTATATATTTGGTCCAGTACGCAAGAAAGGCATATGGAACAATCAGAAGATCCAGCTTCAGGATGAGCTGCCGTTCCTCTTTCGTGTCATCGTCCGCAAACCACTTGACCTGATACCATTTTCTGCGTTGCACTGAAGCCATTACATGAATTTTTCCGCCAGTGGAATCTCTGGCGATTATCGGTTGTCTGATGATCGAGAAGGGTAAGTTCTATGGGCTATGATAGGCCTGACTGGCAGCCCCTGAAGGGATAATATATCGACTCGATTAAGATGCCACTGCCGATAGTAATGACGTGACGACCTACGCACCATGCGCGGCACGACTCCTCCTATCTCCAGAGCTCTGACGCACAGAAGTTGAGTGCGACTTCGTGGATGAACCTCCTGAGCATGAATCGGAAAGCCAAGGATCGTGTTAGAAGGTGGAGATAAGACGTGCTTGTCTAGCCTATGTATGCGATATCAAAGCGCATACTTTGCTCGTTTCACTTTCTTGCCACTGGTTCAGCCTTATGATCCCTCAAGTTGACTTCTCATCATCGATGTTTAAACTTATTGACTAAGAATACGTCGCCCCAGCGCTGGTGCAGGAATCTCGGCCGACGACAGTGCATCTTCTTGCTCCCAATTGTCGCTTCATAATTTTTCATGGAGCCGAATTATCAAAATAAAGCAGAATTCAGATACAGATACGGTCATACCCACGCTGCTAATGAAATCGAATATGGAGAGACGACAGACGACCGGGTTCGTATTCTCCCAGTGGTTCACAGAGAGCAGCGTGACATCGCGAAACCGAGCGAATTTCTAGGGCAAAGATAGTGTCTAGACAGGTTCTCGGAGAATGGGAAACGCTATCCCTAAAAGGACAGCGTCTATCAAATGAGACGTGGGTCTTGGCAATACTCAGAGGGGGAAAGATCGAGCCAAGACGACATGGAGCACTTCAATCTCGAAGCTTCAGAGCTCTCATATCCAACGGCCTCACTAGTCTATTTGACCTGGATGTTGATGAGTGTTTCCAGGGCCATGTCCGTTCAGACGAGCTACCTTCGGTCGGACAATGGAAAGACACCGAGAAGAAAAAGGAAGCAGAAAACTGGACGGCATGTCTACGAGAAACGAGCCATTCACTGACATCTCCGGAACCGGCATGTGTCTTTTGATTCCCTGTTGATCATTTTCTTGATGAATAACGAGCGCAATCAATGTGTATAGGGGTAGCCGCGGTCGGAAGACAGCCAAAGGAGCAGGCGGGTAAACAGAGAGTGGAATTGCCGGGTGTCGTTCCGATGACGTCGATTCGGCGGGGTCGATGGAAACACAGAGCAACCCAGATCATCCTCCTCTGTCCTAACCAACCTTCTAGCTCTCTATCTGATCATTGAACGCGGTGCTCGGCTGCTTTGATCAATTGCGAACCCTTCCAAGCGATACCTTTGTGCGTTTGCTTTCTTCTCCATTCCTTTCATGTTTTACGGACAGCTTCTAACTACCCCTCTCCGAAGGTCTCTCATCGGATCTGTGAAACCTCGCTCCCTTTACGCGTTCAGACCTCTCCATTGTTCATCTGCCAAAATGTCCGGCGTTAGCAAGGCCTGCTGCTCGTACGTGATTCTGCCATTGGCGTTGTTATAGCAGAGTGACCTCAGGTTGACCACATTCAAGGATCCCTCCCATTGTCGCCCAAGGCTACCAGGGCAAGGGTGAATACAAGACAATCAATGGAATGAAGACATGTAGGTCAATTGCAAACCTGAGTCTGGAACAAAAGAGTCACTGACATATGTTCAGATGTTACTGGCCCCGACTCTGCCTCCAAGGCCATCTTCATCGTCTACGGTGGGTTATCGTCCAACCGTTCATCTGTCTCTGTCCGCAGACGAATAGCTAAGTGTGCCGTGGAAAAACAGACATCTTCGGCTTTTTCCCTCAGACAATCCAAGGCGCCGATATCCTCGCTACCTCGAGCGAGCAGAAGTACCGTGTCTTCATGCCCGACTTCTTTGAGGGCCAACCCGCGGACATCACCTGGTTCCCTCCTAAGACCGAAGAACACAAGCAGAAGCTGGGCAATTTCTTCCAAACCAAGGCTGCTCCTCCTGCAAATCTGCCCAAGATTCCACCTTTCGTCGACGAAGCCAACAAGCTCGCCCCCAACGGCAAGGCCTTCGAGTCCTGGTCCATCCTCGGATACTGCTGGGGTGGAAAGATCGCATGCTTGTCCTCTGCCAAGGACACTAAGTTCAAGGCCGCAGTGCAGTGCCATCCCGCCATGGTTGATCCCAATGATGCTAAGAATGTCACTATTCCCATGGCCATGTTGGCTTCCAAGGACGAGAATCCCAAGGATGTCGAGGCTTTCGGTGCCAACCTTAAGGTTGACCATTATGTGGAGACATTCCCTACCCAGATCCACGGCTGGATGGCGGCTCGGTCGAACCTTGAGGATGAACAAGTCCGCAAGGAGTATGAGAGAGGTTACAAGACTGCTTTGAGCTTCCTTCAGAAGCATGCTTAAAAACCAGGGCTTATGATGAAGGACGTAATGCTATTATTTCTAATATATATGAATGACGAGACAAAATGATGAATAATAAAATGACTGCTTTTCCATCGTGCCTTTCCATAGTAAGCAAATCTCAATAATTCCATCGCCTGGCCAGTAAACCAGAGCTGTCATAGAGCCTGATTTCCCAGATCCGGAAAGCGACCCCGAATACTCCACCCGGTGCCGAGAATGAACGTCATCGTTTATCCGCGTCTCTCTCCCCCTCTCAACTTCAACTCCTTGTAACAGTTAAGCCATCAAATCATCGATAGATATTCGTCTTGTCTCTTCTTGGCTCTTTCTGTGCGGCCTTCTTCTTTTCAGACAGTGATGGATAGTCACCAGTTTTTTTAGCCTTGTTTGAAACATCGCATTGTTCTTAACCGATCAGGTGGCTATACCTGCATCTGATCGTACGATTTGATTCAACATGTTCATGTTTGGTCGAAATCTTTCATGACATCAGGCTTTAAACTTTTTATACAATATCTTATGGGCCATTGGGACTATATAAGGATCCTTTCATCTCTACCTGATTGTGCTGATGCTATGATGGATTGAACGACATTCACCGCCACTCTCCAAGAATTAGCGTAAGTAATCTGCAATCACATGCTCCTCTTCTCATCAAGCTCTCAAGATCCATCCGTTCGCAAGTGCTCCTGGTACCAATACTGAAAATTGACCTAGATCAACATGCATGTATTATCTGGCAGGCGTCGTTCAGTTTCGACTGCGGCGCCTTCTAATACTGGCGCGAGTAAAAATTCAGAGAGCTCGCCTAGGAGGGCTTCCTTCTCGCTGGAAAATAGTCGCGATTACGGCGCATCTGGAAGAAACACGTTGCGTAACCTTTTCCACAAGCATGGCGCTGCGCCAGTAACGGAAGATGGGTCAGGAACGGATGTACCTCACGCGTCAATCGAGGAGCACGGTAATGTAAGGCTTACTTTACACTTCGTAGCGCTCCTGGCCAACAGTGTATACTAAATAATCTATCAAGGCTAAATCTACCACGACTCCGAAGGCGCAATTGGTAAAGGATCCAGGCCGACATGATCACTCCTTGGATTCTTCTAGATCAAAACATACACATCATTCAGACGAGCGCGGCGAACGGCAGGATGCGTCGAATCCGACTACTGACACTCTTGCTAAACCTCACAAGGCAGATGTTAACGACAAACCTCCCTCTGAGACCCATCTCAGCCGAGATGATATCCATGCCATATTTTCCGGGGCACCATACTTCCTTTTAGAAAAGGGCAAGCATGGACTTTGGTATCCACAAGTAATCTTCCCATGGGATGACCACGACCCCACGATCCAGCATTTATGGGACAGAAAACTTCTTCCTCATCCTTCATATACCCTGTGCACGCTTCATGCCCATCTCCCCGTCCCCGAAGGCTTCCTTGAAGGTGACGCTCCTCTCCTCTTAGACAGCTGGAAAAGAACCGGTGCACCAAAGAGAGCTACCTTCGATATTGGTATATTCGAAGTCCCAAATATGCTTGCTATGAGCGGGATAGAGCCGGGAACTGTGGGCTTTCGCCATTTTCTAGAGCTGCCAGTGGCTGATTCCGTTCGATTCGTTCATACCGGAACGCCCCATCTGCATACTAATCTACTGCACATTCATACCCTACCGGCCGTTCAGGCTGATGAACTTCTGGAACATTACCATGAACCCTACTCGCAGTGCCTCGACGGTACTATACATGATCGGAAAACGCTTCTTGGTGATGGGCCGACCGCCTGGAAAAGAATTGGTCTGCGAGATATCAATTTTAAAGCTTTGGTCGACCGTCTCGAGGCCTTGAGAAACCTGCGTCACGAGTTACTGTATGAGAACACGCAGAAAACGATACTCGACGTAGAAAGCGCGCATGCGCTCTACAGCGATTTATTTTCCAAGTTTCTTCATCCCCCGCCCCGATTCATGCTCACGGATCTCGATAGCACGCACGGCCTCAAGGCTGAGATCAAAGCGTTGACCATGGTTTTAGCGACACCAGGAGCATGGTTCGACTTCAGTCTCGTCGACTGGCGTTTCCGCATCGGACAGCTTCTCTGGGAAGCTCCTCCCCATGTGGACGGCGACTTCTTTGACCCAAGTACCATTCACAACCCCTGGGCTCATCCGGGGTTGGAACAGAAATGGTTTCTGATCCAGATGCTGCTAGCTGCGGAGTTACTTCTTCGCCTGGATGCCATTGTCAAAGTTGGGCTGGTTGAGAGCTCGAAGGACGTCAGTGTCTCGGCTCAAGATGTCAGCCATTTCGATAAGCTACGCAATCCTAAAGTCGACTGGGACTTGGTGGTGGTGCGTCGCTTCTTCGACAGTTTCAAGATCTCCTGGGGCGACTGCCAATCCGCTGCAGTGTCGAATGCTCCGTCGCAGCCGTCAACCCAGGAGAAGTCGAGTCAAAAGGCTCGTCGCTTTTCATTCTTTGACAGCATAACACGCAGGCATTCGGTAGCCTCTTCCCCTCACTCCGATGTTCACGGGATGTTCAGACTTACACCCACTCATGTCGAACAGCAAGTTGAAGGACTTTTGGCATTTGCCGAAAACATCGGTTGGCCTCGTGTTGACTCGCTCAGAAAAACGTTCGCATCGACATTACACCGGGGGTTTCCAAACCAAAATATCACGGACATGTTTAACCGCCCTGTGCGTGGTGCTTCAGTGGAGGGCCATATGGAAGGAAGCACCACAGATGCCACGTTTAAAAGACTCGCTACTCGCCGGCTAGTAGCCCTCAGCGGTCCTTCCAGCGACGATTCCAAGTCGACGATGGGTGGTTGGATCACGAGATGCTGGCTTTCTGGCTTTGTGATTCCTGGCAAGGCGATCAACCACTTGCTCATGGCTACAGTACTAGAGAATGATCAGGAAGTCATTGCGAGACTTGGATCGGTAGCCAATCTATATGGAGGATTTGCTCTCAATGGGAAGAGCTGGTGGAGTCAAGAATGCATTGTTGGTCGAGTCCTTTCCGCTCTGAAGGAAACCAAGGCCTGCATGGGTTGGATCAGCAGCACGAACATTCCCAAAGAATATCAAACCCAAGAGCCCCTTGACGATGCCTGGTTTGAGGTGATCGTCAGTGAGCCGCCGACAGGTCTGGGGAAACCCCGTATCAAGCAAGGAAACAAGATTTCCGTGGAGTCGACACCGTTAGGACTGGGGTCGTTGGTCAGTGGCGAGTTTACGTTGCCGGTGGACGATGTACCTGAGGCAAAGTCACCAGTGGATGTCAAGTTCAATGCTTTGACTTTTTCTACAAAGGAAGAGCGGCGAAATTCGAACCAGCATACAATGGTCGCTCGCAAAGCAACGATGAATTTCTCGCTGAGGTCGGAGGCCAGCACGACCACAACAGATGTTTCCTTCCCACTAACGTATAATGTCAATTTTGTCACGTCGCATGCGTGCCGTTTGCCTCCGGGTTTAGCGTCATACCAGCACAATGCGTCGCTTGATATAGAAGACGACAAGGGCGATAGATCGCGGTCACTGTCTCCCGCCGAAGCCTTCTCTCTCAAGTACGGACGGCTTCCAGGCCACCCATTGCCCAGCTCATACAGATACAAATATCTTGCACTAGATGACTTGCCAGGTCCTGAGGGATCATCCATAGCGAAGGTTTTTGAGCATGCAGGCTTTGATCTGACGGTTGACGAAGTGTTCATTGTCGATGCTCGCCGATGTGCGGAAAAAGAAGCATTGGCAAGATCATGGTGTGCCTCTGTTGGCTACGATGCCATCATCGGTAGAACTGGGCGGACATGTCTAGGGTGCTGCATTAGAGAAGCTCGGGCGCTTGCGGTCAAGGTGGTCATTCGCGTGGGTGATTAGGAAATTGCCGGCTGGAAGAACTGGCTCATCTAGACGAAGAAATATCCTCCTTTTCTCGACTCGGTGAGAGTCGCTGTGGTAACTACAACTTCTACAAGACAAGAATCTTTTTATTATCTATGGTAGCCTGTTAGGTCATGTCGTGGTCTGACGGGATCACAATCAGAGAACATGAGAAGCTGGAAGTACCTTGACCAAGGCAGCCCCTTTAACCGGTTAATCGTTTAAACGGGGAAGCTAGAGAGTATTGCCAATGCAACCATAGGGTTGCGGAGAATCCGAAGAAGTGTGTGGTGTATATGAGCGAACAAGATTGGGCAACAAGGTCCACGACCAGCGGTGGTCCCAAACCCAAAACGCAACTTTCCTCTTCGGACATCAAAGCAGTGCATGCGATTGGATCGAGTCAGCTGCCACGTTCACGACGCTTTAGGGATCATTGTGAGAAGACACGTAAAGGTGGAGGAGGAGCAGTCAAGCTGATCAGAGCATGTCTGCATGCAGTTAAGTGCCCGAAGATGGTGAAACAGGCCGGCGTGCGCTCTCAGACAGACGCACCAATCGAGCCTATGGGGCCGCCAAGAGGCTTGCTTCTCGCAGATATCTTCCGGTCTGCAAGTCATAGGCTGGCAAGAAAACCTGGAAACTTGGGAATGGGAATGACATTTTGCGCTTGCGGCGCTCGACAGGTCTCTAACTCGAGGAATAACAGGTCGGAGTATTAAGTCATACGTAGTTAGAATGATGAAATGCACACCAATGGCAAGTCAAGCCTCTGTGAACTTGCCTAGCTTTACTATATCCAGAATTCTTAGATTCGAGCACTTGGGCTTCGAAATTCTCCATCGCGTACACTTTGTATCTAGTTCGGGCCCTATTTCGGAGTAACCTCAACATCAAGGCGCCGAGCCAGTCTGCGAAAGCATCACTGCCATCCACGAGCTGAAGCAGTACCCCGGAGTAGTTCATCTGATCCGAATGATCTTAAAGCAAGAATAGCGTCCACAGACAGACACTTAGAAATAAAGAAGATTAGGAGGATACTGAAAGAGATGGATACAGCATACAAGCATACGCCTGTCTCAGTGTCTAGGGAAAGAAGGCCAGCAGGCAGTAAGTACGGAGTAGTCCACGGAGTAATTTCCGGCGCAATCGTATCAATCGTATCAATCGTATTCCCAAAAACCTTGACTTTGTTTGTCCCAACCTTTCAGGGTCTTTTTTGGGGGAAATGGCTACCCAACGGAAATTGACTGCGCACGTGGGCACCAAAGATAAGACCAGTGCCAGTGCCATTGCCCATCACTCCATGGCAGACCAATCTTCGTCTAAGTGGACTCTACTGGCAAGGTGCACTGCAGGCTACGAGTCTGAATCTGAGTCCGAGACGCTCATCAATAACCGCGAATTTCCCTAAAATTGAGAAGGGCGACATGGGCGATGCCAGTCCTGGATAGATTGCCTCCAGGTGCCCTGACTCCTGAGACATGAAGCTGAGGAATGCGAGCTGCATGCTCGCTTGCGCTGCGTAGCGCGGTTTCTTATGTACCTGCAGGCGGAGAAGAGACCAAATTGTGCAATCAGCCGAAAGAGAGCGATTTAGTCCGGGATGATGCGGTCATCATTGGTTCTTTGGACAGGGAAGGATCATTGCGTAGAGTCAAGATGGTGTGGCACTAGCTTCTGTTGGAGTGTGTCCACACTCCACAGTCCACGGTCTACATACAAGCGAGTGAACAGAACCTGAAAATGATATAGGAGAAGTAGTGGCTAATACTTGGATTGCATAGAAAGCGAGTCGCAATTCCAGGAAATGGACAGTAACTGGAGCACCGACCAGGCGTGTTCATCGCAATTTCTGAGACGATCTCGCTTACGTATATCAGTCTCCGATCCCACTAACTAGCACGAGCTGCGAGTGACGAAAGGAGCAACATCCACGCGACCGTCTCTCGCCATCAAACTGTAGTGTTATTATTCTGCAGACACGGATAATAGTCAAGAAAATGAAGTCAACGATTGATTCATCCCTATGCAAGTGGAATCGATACCAGACATCCGCTGACGTAATCCAGAATTCGCCTGCGCATTCCTGCAATCGTTGCAAAGATACTTTGTTTCAGACATGTGCAGGCACTAACCCACTTAAGTCGAGAATCGAGTTTAAACTACACATGTATGAGGGCAAGGTGGTACGAAACAGGACCCTGAGTCTGGAAGAGAAGAGCCAAGCAATATGGTTGCGCGTATTGTGGGTATGTATTTGGGTCCTGGACTTTTTGGACCGGGACTTGGTAATGTGCTCATTGGTTCTGTGGGTACGATATTTATAGTAAAGGTTGCGATCTTGAACATAATGGTTTGACATGGTGATAGGTGATAGTGTTATGATTTATGAACTGCGTAGACTGTTTTCTATGGAGTATCTCATGAGGGTTACATCGGGACCTGGTCATAGTGTCCAGTTTCAATGCTACAATAATAAGATGTCTTATTATCTTGTTTTATCTTTGCTTTTCTCTAAACGAGAGTCTTCAGAATTCAGACTGTGCCTTTGCTTACTAATGTTGGTATACCTCTATACAATTTAAATAAATGTGGGTCGAGAACTCAGACCATTCCCTTGGGACATGACATCAAGTGGCAGTGTTGTATTCAACAAAATTGTGTCTTCAGTTCCTGGGACCTGGATAGATTGAGGTTTTGCGCAGAGCGCACTGTGGACTGAGTGACAGGCAACATTAGTTATGTCTTAGTCATTACCCCTTACAGATTCATACAGATGAGATTTGCTGGCCAAGAACCCACCGGAGACGCTAGGATGCAGGTTTGACCCTTAATCAAACACCGACTTGGGGGCCCACCCCTTTCTGACAGATCGGTACTGTGTTTCATCTTTCATTCCTCTTATTTCATATCTTATGAATAATTCACTACTACAACATTCATCCCATCTAGCGCAATGGTAGCTATCTTAGTGATAGTGTTGCTCTATCCCAAAATTCAAAATGCACTTCTACTAATAAATATGAATGACGAGTACCTAACTTTGACCAGAATCAGGAACAGGTGACCAGATAACACCTGGGACACCTGACAATGCATGTAAGTAGAAGCCTCATTACCCATGGCCCATACGTTACTCTGGATCACCAATCATGGACCATTCCCAGATTCCCCAGCCCAAAGGCTGACGACGAAGGGGCTTCTCGAAGCTCGACAGTGTTCGAGGATCCATGTCGCTGTCTTGTGTCACTAGTCTTCTTCTGGAAGTTCCTCAGACTCATCAAATGACCCAATCCAATGAAAGATCAGCTCACCTTGTGGGCAATATCGCTCACCATGAGCCTAACCCTGATTCGCTAAGATTTCCGAGTCCCCGACGTTGGCCATGCACTTGGCCAATGAGCTCACAGCAAACATACTCATGGACATGGGGGTGAAATTGCTCCCTCCAGCATGATTTCAAACCTCCTCAGATACCTAGGTAAAATCTTCAGGATGCTAGACAGATGCTGTGTAGGGATTTAGGCTATTAAGATTCCTGAATTGCAGTGAACATTCCACCTCAAGATGATTGACAGCATTCAGCCTTTTTAAACATCACTATTGTAAATAGTGCTCGTAGACCATTTCCTTCGGGAAGCATGGTTTTGCTGCTCCCCCCACTTGAGGTAGTTTAAGGTCTGTCACCCATTTGGGGGACCATGGTTTGTGACCTCACACTCAACCAGTCCTGAGCGTGCGATGGTCCTGATGGGATCAGGGGTTCCTTCCTTGACATGTATTCGGTATAGTGCGATGCCGAAAGAGAAAAAGAATTGAAGCTTGTCACCGAGGCTCAACCATTGCAGTTTCTCCCTCTAACAACAGAAACCGCAGTAGGTAAGCCATCAATCATGCATTTCGCTGCATTGATTGACTTCCGACGACTCCATAGACATCACTCAGTTATGCATCTTCAGAAGGGATTCCATTGCCCCATTCTGAGGCGAGAATCCTGTGAAGAAGATGATAGCAGTGGCCCACTGGACACTGACAGCAAAGTCTGGTACTAAAATAAAAATAATATTAGGCACCTTCACTGCTTAGACTCGGCGTTTCATGTTGTGATTAGTCTGATATCGACATCGCCTTAGCTACAGGGACTTTACTCAGCGTCTCTTCTAATTGCCCTATGAATCGATTCAGTACTGTAAAAGGAGACTGCCGAATGCTGGTTTTCATCATCGTCATCGCCTCTCTATCATCTTATTGCTGGTTCTTCCTCTTCTAATATTATATTATCATCTATTCTTATTCTGCTCTTTTTCAGCCAACATAGTTTCAGACTTCATCCTTTTTTCCCAATTTCCTTAAGAAAAGAAAAAGTAAAAAAATTTAATTTCTCCCCTTCCTTAGGTACCTATTATTCTTCTCAACTGGAAACATACCCAACACTCTAATCCTTATAGAGTTGCGCGAATCGTAACCTTTCGAAGCTATCTGGGTTTTCTAGAAAAAGAGACCTCATAATAATAATTATAATTATTCTCTCCATCTTCAATTGGAGTGAAAAAAAAATTTAAAAAAAAAGGAAAATTACTGTCGGCGACCTTTAGACCACGACTCACTCTTTTCACCTACTAGATACGTCCTGGTTCTCCTACTCTTTTCTGCTACTCTGGACGGACTATCTTGCCTTTTTTTATTATTATACTTTCTTCTTCTCTTCTATCCCTTTTCTCTACAACATTCTACCTTTCTATTATTTGAATACTGTTGTTTTTCATTTTCGTTTATCTACTTTCTCTCCTTATTCTCCTTCATCCGCCCCCGTGGACGTACCCTTCTCGATAGGCCGAGGAACCTCAGACGCTTCTCTTCGCTCTATGCTCGTGCATACGTTGACTGCGACATTCTACTACCATACGACTTCTTCTGTCTCGTTCTGTAAACTGGACGAGGACAAGCGAACAACGACGCCGACAATTACTCCTGCAGAAGACCGATCTCTAGTG